TTTTTTTGGTAAATTTTATGTAATATCATGTATATAAAGTGCTGAGCACAGTGTCCAGCACATAGGAAGCTACCAACTTAATTCATACTTATTAAAGAACTGTTTTATGGAAGGTGGTTGAGACATTTCTTTGATTTATCTGAGAATTTCACTTTGAACCATTGCTAGGATGATCAGACTAAATGAAGAATATCTAGATTTTTTCTACTTAAGAATCCCACTTACGACTGTGACAGCACACTTGGTATAGCAAATGGTTATAAAAAAAAAAAATAGCGATTTGTCTTACATTTGAAAAAGTGCACATTTAGGTAACATAGCTAGATTGCAGACCAAGATAGAATGTGGCTTTTAGTCCTAACAGGTATGGAGAAAACAGTAAGTGGAAAAGTTTAGTATAGAGGAGTTATATAGATTGAAATTAGAGTGCCAGAAGAAACAGTAACACTAGACACAAATCCCCCTTAAAAGTTTTAAGTACAAAAAATTTACAGGTTGCAAAAATCTTAATTTTAAACATCCTAAGCAAACTACTAGCATATTAAACCTAGCACTGTTCTAAACCTAATCAACAAGCACTGTTATCTACTAGAATTTGTCACAGAAAGACAGATATGTGTCACCAAGAAAAAAAATCTATCAAGGTATTATTATTCAACATTTAAGTGATTGAAAAGAGAAAACAAATAGATGTCTCAAGAGATACATAAAATTTGGAATAAAATTCAACATTTTTTTAAGATAAAATTTTTAGCAACTTATCAACTGCAGGGAACTTCCTTAATCTAATAATAGGTAGCTATCAAAATCCTGTAAATATACAACTTAACACTGAAATTGAGAAGCCTTTCTATTAAAGTTATGAAAAGATAAGAGTATAGTCCCCATGATGCACTATTACTAGTGAACTGCATGTCTTAACTATGAAATACGACAAGAGAAACAAATGAGGCATAAAAATTGGAAGTTATAATTATGTGTTTACTGATTATAAGATTATCAATATAGTAAATCAAGAAAAGCCATAAATGAACTAATGGAGCAACCATGAAGTTTCAGAATGGTTGAATAATACACAAAAATGTATCATATCAGTAACAAAGTAATATAATAAAAAATCAAAATTGTCTATAAATAGTTGAAGTAAAATCTTGAGGAGAACATTACAAAATGTTCTTAACAAAAATAAAAGACAGCAAAATATATGGAGAACCGTGCTACTTCCATGGATCAGTTCAGTTCAGTTGCTCAGTCGTGTCTGACTCTGCGACTCCATGAATCACAGCACGCCAGGCCTCCCTGTCCATCACCAATCCCGGAGTTTACTCAAACTCATGCCCATCGAGTCAGTGATGCCAGCCAGTCATCTCATCCTCTGTCGTCCCCTTCTCCTTCCGTCCCCAATCCCTCCTAGTATCAGGGTCTTTTCCAGTGAGTCAGCTCTTCGCATCAGATGGCCAAAGTACTTGAGTTTCAGCCTCAGCATCAGTCCTTCCAATGAATACTCAGGACTGATTTCTTTTAGGATGGACTGGTTGGATCTCCTTGCAGTCCAAGGGACTCTCAAGAGTCTTCTCCAACACCACAGTTCAAAAGCATCAATTCTTTGGCACTCAGCTTTCTTCATAGTCCAACTCTCACATCCATACATGACCACTGGAAAATCCACAGCCTTGACCAGACAGACCTTTGTTGGCAAAGTAATGTCTGCTTTTCATAGAGATGTTAAAATCCAGAAGCCTATTAATTTGATCCAAGTCTTTAATATATTCAATGAGATTTCAAACAAAATCTCAACAAGCTTTTTCCTTTACAGCTCTGCATTGTTGCTGTTGTTTAGTTACTAAGTCATGTCTGACTTATGTGTGACCTCGTGGACTGTAGCCTGCCCGGCAACCCTGTCTGTAGGATTTCCAGGGCAAGAATTCTAGAAGAGGTAACATTTAGCTATGTATCTATTAAGACATTATATTTTCAACCTATTGAAATAAAAACAGTGACATTGGAACAGGGGGAGGAAAATCAGATCAATGGAACAGAATTTGAAGCCGTTAAATAAGCTCGAATACATGCAAGAAACAGACAGGGATAGAGGTAGCATTAAAAATCAGTGAAAGGAAAAAAATAAACAATGAATGGCAAGACTTTCCTCTTAAGACATGCATCTCACATGAAAATAATGAAATAAAATGATAAATGAGAAAACAATTAATTAGAAGAAAATCAAGGGTGCTAATTTTTGAGTAGGAGAAAAGAACCAGATTTCCTAGATAACTCTCAAATCAGTAGTTTCTAGGAAACCATTGATAAAACTGAGAACCTCAAAATTAAACTATCTCTTCTACAAAACATGCTAAAGGAAAAAACAGCACATGTGGAAAGGATATCTGTAATATATAAAATCAATGTGAATTAGAATCTTGAATATGTAGAGAAATTGTATGTCAGTTTAAGCATATATAACTTTAAAAGTGGGCAGATGATGAAAACAGACAATTCAGAGGAGTCAGCGAATGTATGAAAAGATGATTATCCTCGCAATGGAAATACAAACTAAAGCAAGAGTGAAACACCATTTCACACCAAACAATTTTGACAGACATGAAAGAGTCTGTCAACATCAACTTTAGGTAAAGACTCCAGAAAACAGAAGTCTCATACCCTGCTGGTGGGAGTGTAAATTAGTACAACCACTTTGGAGAGAAATTGGCTGAGGATAATGATATTTAAAATGCGCATACCCAATAACTTCACAATTCTACTTTAGAGATATCATTGTTCACATGTATCAGGGTATCCTGGATATTCATTGTAACATTGCTTATTTTGAATGGAGAAAAAATGTAACAATCTTTTTGTCTTTCAACCGGAAATAGGCAATTAAATGGTGGTACATACATACAATGTTCTCTAATGATAAAAACCTAAATGAATTAAATTAATGAGACCTATTGTCTAAAGACACGAATGGATCTCAAAAATGTGATATAGAATAGAAAAGTGTGGGAAAGCAAGTTTGTTAAAAAATATTGTATGAAATCATTATGTAAAAAGTTTTCTTAAGTAAAAACAGCAACTACATGTATCATTTATGGATACATGATACATTTCACAATAAACACGGAAAATAGGAGTGACAAAATTCATGCTGGTGATTGCCTTGCAGGGAGATGAGAAAAGAGCTTCACTTTTATCTGTAATGTTCTATTCTTTTTAAATAAATCAATTGTGTGGTGAATACATTATCACAACTATAATTGGGGAAGGCTTCCAAGACAAAATCTGACTTTGCCACAAGAATGTAAGCAGTAGGAGGGAGAGAGTAGTTTCTGTTTGTTTTTTTATTCTATTTTCAGATTATAGAAGACACCAAATCACTCTTGGCTCTCCTCTAACATGTATTGAAACCCAGGGTGTTTCCAGTTTCCAGGAGACAGGGAAATGCAGAGACAGATTAGATGGAATGATTGAAGGCAGGAAGAGAAGGGGACGACAGAGGATGAGATGGTTGGATGGCATCACCAACTCAGTGGACACAAGTGTGAGTAAGCTCTGGGAGTTGGTGATGGACAGGGAAGCCTGGCGTACTGCAGTCCATGGGGTCACAAAGAGTTGGACATCACTGAGCAACTGAACGGAACTGAAGTTTACAGAAAGCTCAAAATACATCAAGCTAGTAGGGAAGCCTGGTGTGTTGCAGTCCATGGGGTCGCAAAGAGTCAGACATGTCTGACTGAACTGAACTGAACTGATGTAATTTGGGGGAAAAATATGGAACTGTTTCAACAGAGAATTTAAATCTATAAAGCCATTGGATATTATTATATTTATAGGTATGTGTTTGAATATGGTTGTTTTTGGCCCTCCTCTATCACTCCAATACGAGCTTTCAAAAAAGACAATCTATATGTTGCATCATTTTTAATCACGTACTAGATGCTATAGCAAAAATAATTAGGCATTTAATGGCCTTAAGAGTATTTATTCATTCAATGATGTGTTTACTCATTTATACTCATTCTTATTGTGGCTCAGCTGGTAAAAAAATCCACTTGCAATATGTGAGACCTGGGTTCAATCTCTGGGTTGGGAGGATCCCCTGGAGAAGGGAAAGGCTACCCACAACAGTGTTCTGGCCTAGAGAATTCTATGGACTGTACTGTCCATGGGGTCGCAAAGAGTCGGACATGACTGAGTGACTTTCACTTCACACTAGTGGACAGTAGACATCACCTGCACGTATGCACTCACATGTGTGTGCACATACATGCACCCTGCACACACACACGGCACACACACACTGCATACACACTATGGTGCACAACCACAACACTGAGTGGCCATGAGCCAGGAAGTCAGGGTTCTCCCAAGGCTAGAGGGCGGTCACCGTGACCCTTCAATCGGGGATCTATTTGCACATATGTTCAACCTACTTAATTAAGCCTGCACTGTCTAAAGAAAATAAGCACTTCAAATCATTCTACTTACCTTTCTTCTGTAGCCAGTCTGAACTCTCTCTACAGCTTTAATATAGTCCTTCACTCAACAAACATTAAATAAATTTTCCAGGTTTTCTAGTAGGTATTTTAGATACACATGCCTGCCTGCCTTCCTGCTCAGTCATTACAGTTGTGTCCAATTCTTTCTGATCCCATGGACCACAGTGCACCAGGCTCCTATGTCCTTGGAATTCTCCCAGCAAGAATACTGGAGTGGGTTGCCATGACCTCCTCCAGGGGATCTTCCTGATCCAAGGATCAAACCTGTGTCTCTTGCATTGCAGGCAGACTTTTTAGCACTGAGCCATCTTTAGGGAAGCCCTTAGATACACACGTTCTCTCTTAATCATCAAAATTTCGCTACAGGGTCAGTGTTCTAACTTCATTTTATAGGTGAGAAAATTACAACACACACAGTTCAAGTGTCTTATCCAAAGGTACACAGTCTGTAATTGGTGTCACTGGAATTCAGGACCCCAAAGTTAAGCTCCATATGGAGACCTGGGAATGCAATTGCTGAATCAGCTTCTTCAGCCACTAATTCATTTGGAGCTTTGGAAACTGTGGAAAGAATAAAAAAGTAAATAAGATGTGGTCTCTCCTGTAGAACAGCCTGGGATCCAGGAGCGGGTTTACCTCACGGGAGAACCCTTTTTATACAAGGAGGTTATAATTAAACCATTCTACAGTGCCACCAGGCTGAAAAAGCCTGCTACTTTTCATCTTGGCACATAAGTCTTATATTCCAAACCTTTGCAATTCTCACCAGATTCCCACATCCCATTTGGTTTAGGGGGCCAATTGATCCCAGCCTTGCAGTGAGGGAAAGACCTGTACTGTCTCATTCCGGCCAGATGCTTTCATGTGTGTTGTAAGGGAATCCCCTTCTTGGTCCAGCCTGGAGGTCTCACTGCAATTAAAGTTGTTTGCAAGTTGCTAGAAGTAACACCTAAAGCCTCTCATTGATGGCCTGGCCTCAATGAATTTTTCAGGTGTGTTGAATGATTTTTCCTCATGTCTACATGCAGAGTCTGCTGAGCTCATCTGTAGCAGGAAGTGGGATCAGTGAAAACATCAAAAGGGTGGGTAGGCCGTGGGCTCTCTGAGCATAGCTGGAAGAAAAAAGCTCAATGTCTAAATGTGCTTTCTCTTCAAAACCTTGATTTTAAAGAAGTTGGTTGGTTTCTTTTTTCTGCACTGACTACCACACTTGGAAAAAAAAAATAATAACCAACCCTTCATTCCAGTGAACCACAGGAGCAATTTTTACAGATTACTCCAGTAGGAGATTAACCATATATCCTTAGAAAAACATGGTAGGGAGTTGCTTCACTTTGTGTGAAGGGCAATCATCTTGGCTTTATCCCTGACCAACCTGTGGGGCGGAGGTGGTGGTGGGGGTGTGGGGGTGGAAGTGAGACAGGCTGTGGTTACTGGCAGGCAATGGTAGTGACTGTGGAGCCACACAGATGCCAGCTTGCCTCTGCAGAGTCAGCAGGACACAGAGAGAACTGGCGGAAAAGGCCACTGAGATGGTTGAGCTACCAGTATCCTCAGGGATCTCCTGATCCATAGGTGCCCAAACCAATAAGAGTATCACTTGGGCCTCCAAACAAATAGCAACATCATCTGGGAAACTTGAAAATATTGATTCCAGAAGTATACAACAGACCTACTAAGTCAGAGTTATGAGGCTACAGACACATATTTGGGAACCAGTCTTGAGTCTAGTACCTTTATGATAGAACTGGAGAAGTTAAAGCTAAAGAAGGATCATGATTTGCCCATGAATTGAAGTTGCTCAGTCACGTCTGACTCTTTGCGATCCCATGTCCATAGACAATGTGATTTGCACATAGACAACAGCAAAGATTGTCAGAAGCCAGAGAATCAGGCTTCAGCCCAGAATTCCCAGAGTAAAATCTCTCTTCTTCTCTCTAAACTCTTCATCTCCACCTTCTCCACTCTTCTCTTCTCAAGGAATGGCCCCACCAAGCCCCAGAGCTCAAATCACAAGCTTGGGAGTTATCCTCACTCTCTTTCACCCCCCACATGAAAAACATTCCCACTCTTGCTAATTTTAGCAATTAATATTGACTAAATAGATTTCTTTTCCATTCCCTACCACACTTTTCCAATTCAACCACCTCCATCTCACCTGAACTACTCCAATAGCCTGCTAAATAGTATCTCTGCCTCTGGTTTGTTCACTCTATCCATGCTCCTTGCTGAAGCCAAGGGACTTTTTGTAAAGCACTGAAGCATTCATCTGATCTTGTTACTGTCCTGTATGACACTTTTCAAGGGCTTCCAAAGAATGAAGACCTCAAACTTTGACCATCCTTTCATAACCGACTTCATGATTTTCGCTATTACCCCAACTATCACCTTACATCTCCTGCACCACCAAATTTCTATTCTTTTAGTATGTACCCTTCAGTTTCATTCCTTCACTCATGATTTCCTTCTCATGGGTGCCTTTATTCCCATTCTCTCTCTCTTTCTCTCACACACACACATACACACTAACATCAACACACTCACATACACATCATATCTTCATTCTATAAGTCTTAAGCTCTTTAAGTTCCTCCTGTGAGAAGACTTTCTTAATCCCAGCCATTCTAACCATTAGGTTAAGAACTTTTTGTCTTTGTCTCAATAGCATCCTATGATTTCCTATCAAAACTTTTATCAGAATATATTCAAAATGTCTCATGTTAAATTCTTGTATTTCTCTCTATGAGGTTAGTCTCCTTAGTACAAGGATTAATGTCTGGTTTATTTATGTATTCTAAGAATAAAACACAGGACCTGATATCATATGTATTTAAAGTATTTTTTTGTGGGGGAGACCAAATCAACTTCTCCTGAACTAGACTGATGGACCTAATCCCTAATTAGTAATTTCTAGTTACTCTTCATGCACATAATTACCTATGAAATGTGATTTGAGAGACCTCAGTAACTCAGTCAATCCTCGGTCACCTGGCATGGTCAGTACAACCCGTGTCTTCTGTTCTTCTTAGATGCCCGTTGCTAAGTCACATTCCAGGCTTATGAGTAATGCCCTGGGATTGGACAAATCATTCCTCCCATTTGACTAGACAGGCTGTGTGTAATCACTGAATCTTTATGAATACCTTGAGAGGGACATGTTACTGCTCGCAATTTTATGTTTGAAGAAACAGACTCAGAGGGAGCATGACGAGCAGTATCAATTGCCTCTGGTGGTAGACTCCTCTTTCCGTACGGGAAAGGGAGCCACATTCTTGTCTCAGAAGAGAATCATCTTAACGGATAAAGAAGAGGTGATATCTTTGAAAGTGTCAGTCGCTCAGTCTTGTCTGACTCTTTGTGACCCCATGGACTGTAGCTCACTAGGCTCCTCTATCCATGGAATTCTCCAGGCAAGAATACTGGAGTGGATAGCCATTCCCTTCTCCAAGGGATCTTCCTGACCCAGGGATCAAGCCTGGGTCTCCCACATGGCAGGCAGCTTCTTTACCATCTGACTCACCAGGGAAACCCAAAGAAGAGTTGATCTATAGATGATAGATGATAGACAGATGATAGATGATAGATAGATAGATAGATAGATGATAGATAGATAATAGATAGATAGATGATAGATAGGTAGATAGATAGATAGATGATAGATAGATAGATGATAGATGATAGATGATAGACAGATGATAGATGATAGATAGATGATAGATGATAGATAGATAGATAGATGATAGATAGATAGATAATAGATTGATAGATGATAGATAGGTAGATAATAGATGGATAGATGATAGATGATAGATAGACAGATGATAGATAGATAATAGATAGATAGATAGATGATAGATAGATAATAGATAGATAGATGATAGATGATAGATAGACAGATGATAGATAGATAATAGATGATAGATAGATAATAGATTGATAGATAATAGATAGATAGATGATAGATGATAGATAGATGATAGATAGATAGATGATAGATAGATATAGATGTACAATGGCATTTTTAGTCATAAAAAATAATGAAATAATGCCATACACAGCAACATGAATGAACTTAGAGATTATTATGCTAACTGAAGTAAGTCAGACAGAGAAAGTCAAATACCGCATGATATCACTTATATGCGCAATCTAAAATAGAACACACACACACACACAAAATAAGATAGAACACAAATGAACATATCTATGAAAGAGAAAGAAACTCACAGACATAGAGAACAGCCTTGCGGTTGCCAAGGGAGAAGGGTGTGGGGAACAGATGAACCAGGAGTTTAAGAGTTTAGGATTAGGGGAGCTTGGGAACTCTCTTAATTTACATACTTTACTATGCAAACTCTCCTAGTATACTATATATATATATAAAACTGAATCACTTTGCTGTACACCAGAAACTAACACAACACTGTAAATTAATTATGCTTCAATTAAATTAAAAAAATGAATCACATTTCCAAGAATGATCATGGTAGTTTCTGGCTCTTTTTTCACCAGATGGAGAAATTAATGTTAAATATTTAACTTGGTATTCTGCTATATATTATTCATTTTATAATTGAAAAAGCATAAGGCTATTTCAAAAAACTAATAAAAAGAAAAAAGCCTAGATCACACATGGCTTTGAGGATGAGTAAAGATTATGCAAGCAATGAACCTTATAAACTTTAACATTCTTCATAGATGCAAGGTGACATTATTATTAATAAAATGTGATATTCTAAAACAACTACTGGGAATTATTATTCATGTTGCCAAACTTACCTTTATACCCTACCATAAATCTCATTTAAAGAATTAAGCTAACAAAAGGAAAAAATCATACATACAAATAAGTGTATAAGTGTGCATCATTTTCTCTCCAAAGGCTGTCTTATAACACTTTAATGAACCTCTAAAACAGATTAAAAAAAAACAAAACAGGCTGTTCTTTTGAACTCAGCCTTACTCACTAAATATTCCCAGATTTACTGAACTGGTAGACAGGACATTTCAGAAAGACCCTTGAGTTCTACAGAATCAACAAAAAGAGAACAGTGAGTTCTGTAAGTTATGGAAAGTTGACACTGGAAGAAAGCTTGAGGACTATTTTGAGCCCATTCCTCATTTCCCAGATCAGCAACTGATTGCAAAAGGAAAGAAGGCCTTTTTGCTCGCAGTCACAGAGATCTCACTGGGGGTGGACCTGGATTCAGACTTCCGCCTCCAAAAGCAGACCCGACTCTGCCCCTCTCCCCACCCGTCACCCTCCACAGAAAGGAAAAACAAACATTCCTAAGATACAAAGCGAGATCCACCTGGGCCACTGCAGATTTTAGGTTCAAAAAGGGGAGGGCAACTCCCTGACCCTCCCGAGAGCTTTGCAGAGACCAGGTCACCCTACGCCGAGCAGGGGGTGTCCGGCACACTCAGGGCTGCCAGGCCCTCACACCGTTAATCACTCCCTCCTGAGCCACTTTCCAGCCCTACCCTGGGTTCCACTTCCTGACAGGTTGTATATTGTCTCTAAGCTCAGGCTTCATTTTTCTCCCATGTATGGCCCTGCTGCCCCCTTTGGCTAAACACTAATCACACTTCTCCCACTTTGCCTGATCCAAACCAGACTATAGGCATCAGCGCACTCATTCCCCATGGGTGGTCCTGCTTGGACCTTGAGCCTCCAAAAAGGACTCTGTCAAAGACTGATGGCAAACTTTCCTGTAAGACCAAAGCCTGACACCCATGCAAAGGAGAGGTTCAGCCTCTTCCTGCCTCACTTCCCAGGAGCACTCATTTACTAAATTCTGACCCCACACCTGGAGGATCAAGCATCTACAGTATCAACAGTAGATAATTCACACTCACACAGGTCGATCTGGGCATTTCCTACTCAGCTGGCAAGATCTGTCCTCAGACTAATTGAATATCACTTGGCACTTACGAAAGATATTTCGGCTTTGAAATTGACTCATAAGCATGTGTTAATGGACTAGACTTGCCGGCTCCAAATAGTTTCCCTCTACCCCCTAAGCCTCTGGGTATTTATTCAAGATATACCCATGCTCCACACAGAACTTTCAGACCTTGACTTGGAAAGTTAGAGAGGTCATGGCCTCCCCATCTGTCCTGCTCACTTTCTGGACACTCATAGATTATCCAAGACATGGAACTCCCTCTGGCAGAGCCTCAAAGGAGCATTGTTTCCAGAAGTTTCAGAGAAAACAGAGATAATACATTTAGAATTTTGAAATTCAGAAAAATTGGGGTTCAAAATCCAAATACGCAGGAGGAAAAATACTAATCTCTGAGCCCCAGGCATTTAGTAGGCAAAACAGAAATGATAATACCTGAATGAGCTGGTATTAGGATGAAAGATAAAGAATCTGATGGTTTCAGGGTGATACCTGGCACTTAAGAGGTGACACTGATTGTATAATGTTATATATACATAGAATGGCGTAACTTGGGCTTCCCTGGTGGCTCAGTGGTAAATAATCCACCTGCCAACCAGGAGACGCAGATGTAATCCCTGGGTCAGGAAGGTCCCTGAAGAAAGAAATGGCAACCCACTCCAATATTCTTGCCTGGGAAATTTCATGGACTGAGGAGCCTAGTGGGCTAAAGTCTACAGGGTCGCAAAAGAATCAGACACGGCTTAGCAACTAAACAACAATGACATAACTCACAAAACGGTGAGTTAGGTCTAATTTCAGCCATCAGTTTAAAGATGGGGAAACAGAGGCACAGAAAGATTGAGTAACATGAATTTGAGCCTTAGAGACAGAGCCTGACCTCTCATGATCACTGTGTCCCAATCCTGATGGAGTTTCTCCGTGGATGGCAGTGTCAGCATCACCATCATACTAAGGAGGGTGGTCAAGCCCTTCTGAGTTAGGGATCCCCACGAGGACATATCATATTCTATGCTGCCCTATGCCACACCCTTAGGTGATTCTCTTGAATTTGGACAAACAAAATCTTAACTGGGCTTTACACTTTCTGAAAATAATAAAAATAATATTAATAATCCATCAGAAAGAGTTTTGCATACATTTTTTTTCTGTTCTTGGTAGTTTTTGGTCACTTGTAGAAAGAGAAAATTCCTGAAAATAGGCAATCTCTGTTGAGCCCCAGCTCTGCTCTCCTCGCCTCCTGCCTCCTCTGTGAAAGCTGTTTTCTCACCTGTAAAAACAGGATCATTGCACCTTAACTCAAAGGAGTGCTGGAAAGGGGAAAAAAAATGATGCTTAGGTTCTCCGTCAACTCAGATGTTCTCAGAGGCCTTGACTGTATGATTTATGACCACTTGTAACTGAGGGATTTACTGGGACAAATGTCCACTTGGAAAGATGTGAGCACACACTCTCAGCCCCACAGCGTCTTGGATTTACCCAAGCTTCTTGAAAACCAGTAGTTCTCTCCCTTTCTCCTCTTCAGCAGAAATAGGTTGGACTTCAGTTTGTTCAGTTAACCTGTTTGGCGGTACTGACTCTTGCCACATCCTGTATGAAGCTACAAAAACATCAAGAGGGATGAAACACAAATCCTGCGTGTGAGGAAACACCCCTCCGTGTGATACAGGCAATGATGGCAGGATTGTGGCTTAGGAAATAGAGTGATTGATTGTGAAGGGAGTCAGGGAAAATTTCAAGGGAAAAGCAGACTTCCTGGCTGGATTTTGATGACTGAATTGGTGGCTAGGGCGTTGGGGATGGTGGTGAGGGTCCAGGGCTGGCAAGGGCCTTCTGAACAGAAGGAAGAGAATGTGGTAAGGAAAGTCTTCATGAAGCATCAGGATGTGATAGGACAACTGCTAACACTTAGGTTTGCTTAGCTTAATTATGCCTGGGAGGGGCAATGCTAAGTAAACAGAGGAGATTCAGAAGGGCCTTGGAGCCAAAACTCAGGAGCTTGGCGTTACACTGCCTTTCATATCCAGCATGTGTAGAAATGTTACCTTGCCTGGATCGTGTCCCTCTGAATCCTAAGAACCAGATATGAGAGGGGCAGCTTCTCCAACAAGA